GTTCTGAAAGACTACTATCGTTGTTGCGCATGCGTTAACTTTCGTAAAAAATTCACAGTGCGCTTTTAAAATTCAAATAATAAATAAAAAAGGATTATTTTTCGATGTAAAATAAAGCCATTGCCTATTTAAACTGTTCTCAATCTCGCCACTGAGTAAAATTATTTCTTATTTATTTGTTTCGATTGAGTAGGTAACACAATATAAACGCCTTTGGTTAAACTTTTTTTTTCTTCCTAGTTCATGATTACTTTTTGGGTCCAGGTAATCGTCCAGTTCTTTACGATAAGCATATTGGTAAAATGATCTTTGATAAAATTACTGTTGTATATTTTGGATACAAAATGTTCATTAGTTTTGTGGAAAAGACCGTCGTAATAAAAGGAGAAAGAAAAAAAAGATGAATGCGAAGCACTGGGTTTGTATGCGAAACAAAAGCAAGCACCAGAGACTACAAGGCATTTATATTATTATAAGAATTTGGGCAACAGCAGAAAATTGCTGAATAAATGGTGCACAGAAGGAGGGGATAGCCTGGTTGGCAGAGCCCATGTCGAAGAGTTCGATCCCAGCCGGCCGAAGCACGTTAAATCTGTCGAATCGCTAGGTCCTCCATGTTCCCATAACAAATCAATACCTCTTGGGGTACTGATCCTGGAGTTCCTTGTCTTCTGGATTGGTTCAAAATTACGAGGCTACGGAGTTGAACATTAGTAGTCGTAAACCCAAAATTGGGTCGGTTGTTCAACGACGGATATAAAAAAAAGCGAAAAAAATGGTGCACAGAAAATAGTAACTGAAAGGGCAATAAAAGAAAATATTAATTAAAAAAAAATTCTTGTTCTAAGTTAAAGTAGGTGAGTCCCGCAGTGGACTGATCGTTAAGACACGGTTCCCAGCAGATCACCGAAGTTAAGCATCACTGGCTGCGGTCAGTGTGCGGGTGGGTGACCACTTGGATCAGTCTGCGTAGGGACCGAGAGTGTGCGGTATTGATCCTCGTTAAACTGTGCTGCCGTAAAGTGCTCGACTTCGCGTGCAGGTCGTTGGGCTACCGAAGCGGGGGGTGCCATCCCCTCTGCAGAGGATCAAAATTGTGATGGCATGTCTTCGGATCATTCTCAGGGATGTCTCCCAGACCGTCGCCAATAGCCCATTGTGCAGCTCTAGTGCGACGTAAATGAACTACAACAACAACAATAAAGTAGGTAATGAAACCATATAATTGGTTTAAAACTGATCAGTGGTACCAGTCTAAAAGTCCACGACTTTAGTAAATGCTTTTCTTTGCAAACGAGGATGGTCCTAGAAATTTGACATCAAAGAAGGCTGGAAGTAATAATAGTCGAAAAAATTTTGAATTCATATAAAATTAAAAAAAGTCGTATATTAAAAATTCGACTTCTCGGGAACTATTCGACCAATTTCGGTCAAATTCTGTATTTTTCCACGTAAAATTACCTACTTTAAAATGATTTTAAAAATTGTATACCTTACAGTTCAAAATTTTTCGACTATTCGTAAATGATAATAAATATTTACTAAAACTTATTTTTTGCATGGAATTTTCTTTGGATAAACGAATTTTACAATTGCGTGCAAAAAATTTTCAATTCGCTTAAAAATGTTTACGAGATATGGGGAAATACGAAAAAAGAAAAATTAACATTATAGGGTCCAAGCGTTGGATCGCTCTCCTGACCTAACTATGGGGACCATATGTCCTAGATTGTGGCTACCCCCTATATTTTGGAGGCCAGAAATCCGAAGCAATGGAAAAAAAAGGTATGTTTATTCAGAGAAAGTGCGTTTTTGTGTCTGAAGTTTTAATTTTGTAACTTAAAATATCGTCTGCACTGAGTGATTAGAATATTTGAGGTCACTCCTCTGAACCATTAAATGTGAGTTCTAAAACGTGAGGATCCGATTTTTGGATCAAAAGTTATTCAAAGAAATCTTCTTTTCTTTTTTTTTTTTGCGCACTGTGCAACTAAAAAATGGACAATATCAGTTTTAAAAAGAGGCTTTTTATTCTGGCACGTACAACATAGTATAAACATTTTGGTTTAGTATAAAAATTATGCAATAGTATTTATACATTTAACACAATAAAGAAAAAAAGTAAAAAAGAAAAGAGAGATTAACGAAGAAAATTAAGAAAAATAATAATAAATTTTATTTACTGAGCATAAGCTGCAAGTACATAGAACTCATGAAATGAGTTAAAAATGTACGGAAGACAAAAAAAAAGATGTTATGATTTTCTAGAGAAAANTGGTGCACAGAAGGCCGGGATAGCCTGGTTGGTAGAGCACTTGGCCCATGTCCAAGAGTTCGTGGGTTCGATCCTAGCCGGCCAAAGACTACCCGTGTAGTCTATTGGTGACTGATGCACGTTAAATCTGTCGAATCACTGGGTCCTCCATGTTCCCATAACAAATCAATACCTCTTGGAGTTTCCTTGTCTTCTGGATTGGTTCAAAATTACAAGGCTACGGAATTGAACATTAGTAGTCGTAAACCCAAAATTGGGTCGGCTGTTCAACGACGGATATAAAAAAAAAAGAGAAAAAAATGGTGCACAGAAAATAGTAACTGAAAAGGCAATAAAATAGAACATTAATTTTAAAAAAATTTCTTGTTCTAAGTTAAAGTAGGTGGACAAAAGGTAAAAAAGAAAAGAGAGATTAACGAAGAAAATTAAGAAAAATAATAATAAATTTTATTTACTGAGCATAAGCTGCAAATACATAGAACTCATGAAATAAGTTAAAAATGTACGGAAAGCAAAAAAAAAAGATATTATGATTTTCTAAAGAAAAAAATTATTAAAAAATATTTTTAAAATCAACTTACAAATCTAAAAAAAAAGGAAAAAAAATTATTAAAAAGATTGGAAAATAAATTAAAATAAGAAAAAGATATAATCTTGTCATCAGCTCACACGATTATAACCGAAACTAACAGTGCTTTCTAGCCTGAGTAAAACACAATAATACAGGAGGGAGCACCAAAAAAAAAAAAAAAAAAAACNAAAAAAAAAAAAAAAAAAAACTGAAACGAAAATAGAACTTAATAAACAAAGAATGTAGAATAGAAAATAAAAAATGCTAAATAAAACAATCAAGTAAAAATCGAAAATAAAAATTAAAGAAAATACAAAACTCAAGATGTAATACATAAAGCGAGCAGTGATTTTAATGTACTTACACTTACAGGCATTTCTCAAAAATGATTTAAAATGTTTTCGTAATAAATTTACCAGATTATAAAATACGAAAATAGAAGCGTAAAAAGAGGATGAAGAATTAATAGAGGGTTTCCTTTATCCGCTATTTATACTTCTATTTTCATATTTTGTTATCTGGCAAACTTATTATGAAAACATTTTTAATCATCTTTGAAAAATGCCTGTGATTTTAAGTACATTTGAAATCGTTTCTCGCTGTATGTATTACATTTTGAGTTTCATTCTGTATTTTCTTGAATGAAATTATAATCGTATATATTTAGAATTCTGAAAATATTATATTGCTTTTCTAGCCGAGTTTATAAATTTAAGAAATGCTTTGCATCTCCACACTGACTCTATCGCACCATGCTTAACATTGCTTTAAACGTTTGGTTCTCCCCATCGAACTCTTTGATTCGCATCTCCCCGTGATTGATCTCACATTGTGAATTATAATAACAGCACATTTTACATTATTAAATTACAAATGGGAGGGGATAAGAATTGCGCATGTTCTCGCATTTTCGGATTGTTCTTCTTCAACATCTACTTTAGAAACTTCCTTTAGAAATTAAATTGACCGACCTAGAGCAATATTTCAAACATGGAAATAACTGTCTTCAATTTTAGTTTTATTGAACCGATAAGAAGGAACAAATTATTTTTTGTTAGAATAAATAACTTTTTGATGTTTGGAGCTGAGTGATTTGATGAAACTATAGGTTGGTCCACCATACGAGAACATTATAGCTACGCGAGTGATTGCTACTTGTTCTACACTTATGAATCCACCCCCCGGCTTCCCTTTGATTAAAAGTACATAAAACATACATGACCTCTTAGTTTTTTTTTTCATTGCCTTTTCTCATTCAAACTGCATGCGAAAAAAATCCCCTATGCGAATTTGGAAATACGAGTGAGATTTTGATTTGCGAGTTTTTCGTAGATAAAATATTTCACCAATCAATTTCTTGTTCGTATCTTCGAATTTGTAATTTTCGGACGCATTGTGAATGCTCCTTTACGGACCAGCATTGATTTGTTGCTGCGTATTGTATCAACCACTTAAACCAGAGAGCTTTAAAATCACACTCACACTCGTCATTCTCAATTGTTTTTGATATTTCTCTTTAAAAGCATCATCCTTAAAATAATATAAAAGGAAAAAAGAGAAAAGAGGGACAAGAGCGGCACCAAGCCCATAAATAAAAAAAGCGATATGCATTAAAATGGAAAAAGAGCACCACTTTCTTAGCTTGGGTGCAGATTATGCCAGCTGTAAAATAAGTTTTGATATATTCAAGTATTTCATTGCCCATCTTTACAAACTAACAACTTCGTGACTCAACATTCATTAATTTCGTGTAATGGATAAGTTATTGCTGAATGAGTCATAATTTTATGATCTTGTTGACAAAATTATTATTTTAACTTGTGTGGAATGAACTGAATGAGCTCTCGGTGAAGTAAACTCATACAAGCCCGCTGTTTAGTAACCAAAAAGAATCTGATATCGAATAAAGAAGTCATCTTTATTTTCTAGTCACGGAGATAAGATTGGTTAACTTTTTAATGAAATGCATGGACCCTTGAAATGCCCCCGCTGTATCTTTCATGCACTGCTGTGCTAGAAACACATCCCCGTGTTCAAAGTTAGGGATTTCATTGCATTCCGCTGATTTATTTCTGATACTGATCATGATCAAGATAAAAATTACTCTGAGTTCCACATCTTCCAAATATGATATTTTATTAAAATAAAAAAATACGGTTTTTCACGACATTGTTTAATTGCAACTAGAGGGCGCTGTTGTTCGATTTCTTTGATTGTTAAATTTTTTAAATCAAAAATTTATTTAAGTAAATTTTGTAAATTCAATTTCATCTATAAAAATTTTATCTAAAATTTTAAGGTTTGTTTGACATTTTTTGAAGATTCAGAACACACTCTTCAGTTTTCGAAAATATTAATTTTTTGTAACTAGCTTTGTGCCGTTTGTGTCTGAGAGTTTGCTTCATCAACGGAAGAGGTTCGCACGCGCCATTTTCATTCAGTTTAAATATTCGATTTAAGTAATTAATTCCTTCTTTCTTTTATATTAAAAAGAAAATGAGTACCTCAGCTAACGCCACAGAAGTCGAAAATAACTCAGTTGGAAAAGAAAAGGGAGCCGGAGATAAATCCGAATCTTTGAAAAGACCGGTGTCTGAGGTAAGCTTAACAAGCTTGGCTTTATATTAAGCACTACTTTCGGCGGGCTTTGATAGATAAGTTGTAAAGTGATAAAATGTAATCAGTTAATATTGTTAGTTTATGTCAATCTAACCAAATACCAAAGCAGTGAGCGTACAATAGCTAATTTTATTTCTTCTGTTTAACATGATAATTACAATTCTTTTGTGTGTAGCCATTGTTGCAAATTTTACTATCTCTTAAAAGAATCTATTAATCATATCAAAATTGATGTTTCTTAAATTTATTCGATTAAATATGAATGATTAGGTAACTTTGAATAAAAGCAGCTTCGTTATTTTGTGTACTTTTTTGTTATGAGATGTTGAAAAATTTTGCTCACGTGCTCGTGCTTTTATTGATGTTATGACCTTTGTTTTATTTTTTGAGCACTTTTCTTTACATTAATTTAGTAATATTAATCATATTTAAATATCGCGAAATTTACTTCTAAAATATTAATGCTGTATAATGTAAGTTGAAGGTCGTTACGTATTCCACAAATATGGCTACCTTTGGTATCGGCATTTTGTATTCAGGGGATCATCTCCAAAGTACACTAACTCATTTGCGTTTTGCAAATTTCTTAATTTATCTTAAATATACTCTGATGTTCAAATTCTTTTTAGGTTAAGAAAAAAGTTCTATTATAAGAATTACCTGGTGATGTTGCGAACTATTGGCGTTATTATAGTTTTTAATAGTGGTGTAATAAGCAATTAATGCATGACCCCTAAATGTTACCGTCGTTATCTATTTGCCGGTTTGCCGCGCTTTACTAATGGCCGAAAGTTAATGTTAAGTTTCAGGGCGAACTTATTTTCTCCGAGTAAACGGCACGATGATTTGTCGAATATTTTAAACTTTTTCTTAATACAAAAAATAGTGCTTTTGTGTGATTATTTAAAATTGTTAATTGTATTTGTTTCACATTAAGAAAAAAATTTCTTGCTATAACTTACAAACTTATCATTACTATATTAATGTTTTGATTTCTTAATACATTTTATGGGAAAAGTGTCTTTTTATTTTAAATTCTGTTTAATTTGGAGAAAATTAAGTTCAATTAGCTCATTAAGTTGAATAAATTTGACTGGTGCCACAGGCATTTCAATGAAGAAAAAAAAACATTTTATATCCAGAGAATTTAATGACTCATAATTAGAAAGTGGAAGATGTAAATTTAAGGTTAAAGACAGCTTTACTTGGATTCTGAACTAAACTGTATTATTACAACAGAAATTCAGAGAAAAATAATGGCAAGCAATAGATGCCTCAATGTATTACAAAAATATTAAAAATCGTATTTAATTTTGAGAAAGCAAAAATTCTACCAAAGTAACCTAGCTTGCATATAAATGTGGATCTAGGAAATACCCAGTTGTTGCAAGTAAGAATACTGTCTATAAGTTTTTTTTTTTAATTACAAATCTTTGTACTAGTACTAATTTGCTTTGCTATGTTTGATTACCTGTAAATTAATTTACTCTATTAAATATATTCTTATTTTAAAACATAACTTTATAATTTTTTGTAGAATTTCCTCTTTTTATTGGGGGATTTCTGTATCATTGTCTGTGGCAGAATAATCTCCTAGACTTGACAACTTTTAAACAGCGGCCCATGAGAAACTTAAAATAAAATCGCAGAAAGGGACTTGTTCTAACTATCGAATGGTTTATATTATCAAATAGTAAAATATAAATAAAAATTATAATACTCGTGTGGTTTATATAGTGTTTGTAACATCAATTAACTGATTATGCTAATATAAATATATAGTTAACAATAATTCCTTATATTAAAATTTATGTTTACATATTTTAAATTTAAAAGAAAAACTTCTCTTATAAATGTGTTAATGACATGTTCATATTTTTTCTATTTGAGTGAGTTCTAATCAAATTTATTATTGCATTGCAAAGCTTTAAGTACATCTTTTGTTAGCATATAGTTCCATGTTTATATATATTTAGCCTGTCCTTCAAATTGACAATGGTTTATAGAAGCAATTCCAAGATACAAAGGATAACATAATGAAAAATAAATATTTAATACTATCACCTTCATTAACACGCTTTTTTATTTACTATCTTCGATATCAGAAATTTTTATTTTTCATATGTATTTTAATAATAGTAAAGTTATAAACATTTTAATTTAGCCAGTATTTGTAACATCTGTCATGAGCTTTTATCTATTTGCCATTTTTTTATCTCATTTCCTGGATCTTTACAATGAATGTTTCCTATTAATTAGAAGTTTGTTATGACTCAGGAGATAGAGTTCGCCTTCCAATGAGGCGAACCGGGTTCGAATCCCAGCCAATACGAATTCTGCTTCCGGCTTGCACCGACCACAGTGCTGACGTGAAATATCCTCAGTGGTAGACGGATCATGGGTCAAAGTCACCTTGCCGTCAGGCTAACCGTGGAAGGTTCTCATGGTCTTCCTCTCTGTGTAACGTAAATGCGGGTTGGCTCCATCAAAAAGTCCTTCACGAAAGCAAATTTCTCCCATTACTCGATCCAGGAGTTCTCTTGTCTTCTGGATTGGGTTCAAAATTACAAGGCTACGAAATTGAACATTAGTAGTCATAAATCCATAAAATAGGGTCAGCTGTTCAGCAACGGTTATAAAATAAAATTAATTTAAAAAGTCTCATTATTGCATAGAAAAGTAGGCTGACTTGTAAAATATACACGATTTCGAATTGCCGAGGAATAAAATTCAATTTTACACTTTTTCCTGCCAATACAAATGATATATGAACTTGCATTTACAACGTGATTTAAGATCATGCTTCTTGTTTTCATGATTTTATATCATACTGCATATTCACACCATTTAAAAGCCACTATTATGATTCGCTTTCAAGTGACTTAAAATTTATACATCAAAAACAGGGGTCTGTCCAGGCCGAATTTACTACCTTTTAGCGGTACCTTCACAAATTCAATTTTAGAAAAACGGTAGTTTCACAAAATACTTTCTCTTAAAATTTTATTTTTGTATCCTTTAAGAAATGATAAATCCATATTTTTGTGTTGATTTTTTAATATAATTTTTCACAAGTTATGTCTAAATTTTCACAAAATAGGTACCTCTGAGAAAAACCTAGACCAACCCCTGTAAATGCATATTCACACTTTTAAAATGGATCAGCGAGGCTCTTATTCCCCAGATTTTAAAATCAAACAAAGATTCGTGTGCTTTTAAAATGACACATTACGATTCAGATTCACACAATTTTAAACAAATCTTTTATTGTTATTTTATTATTGTTGTCTTTTATTGTACTGTAGATAAGTGCTTCCTACACAAACTTTCTTCTTGCTCAAATATCTGATATTTTTTATTTATTTTTTCCAATTATTTAAAAAGTGATTTTGCACATAATGTTTTTGGATTTCTAACTTTAGGTTTTTATCAAACTCATCCCTGTGAAATAAACAAATTTAAAATTCTATTAAAATTAAAAATTTTATAAAGGAAAAAATTGATTTTTCTGACAAATTGAAGTGATGGAAATGTTGTAGCTAGTTAATCAATGCCTGCAGAAGGTTTTTCACTTTAAAATGTTTTACTTGATGTTCTTTTTATGTAATGTCAGTCACATTTTATCTTTTCACTTTAAATAAAAACATTTATAATTTTCACGCCATTTTCTTATGTGTATAATACTAGGCTATTGAAAAATGGTAAGTTATCTAATTTTCTTTAAAGAGATAATTAAAATATTTATCAACGAAAAAAAAATTAAGAATAAAAAATCTATCAAACTGAATCTCAGTCACTATCCAATTAATTGCCCATTGAAGCAATTACCATATGAAAAAGAACTTCAGTTATGTGATTTCTTAAATTATTTGAAGAGTTTTTTTTTCCTCAGACGCTTTCTTTTCAACAGAAATTTATTAAAAGCTGTAAAATGTTATTTAAAAAATTAAAATCGGTGTATAGATTTAAAAATACTTTAAAAAAAAAAAAAATTTGATTTGTTTTAAAAATTTGATTTTCTTAAGTGATAATCACTTAATGCTTTGAAAGTAAATTTGTAAGATAAAGTATGTAATTTTGAGCATTAAATAATTATCTTCTTTTTAAATCTAGGTTAATGATTCAGGAAAAGATGAATCCAAACAGAAATTACAGAAAGTAAGTTATATTCTGTTATTTTCATGTAGTTTATTAATTATTCTTTTTCTTTCTAAATGTGAAGAAAATATTCTTCAAAGAAGAGAAAATTCTCTTAAGAATGAAATTTTAAAGAATATTTTTTTCCTCATTTATTTAAAAATATATCACACTTGTATACACAAGTGTGATTTATATGAATATATGGTGTGTGAGATATGTAATTCTTTTATCATTTTCAAATAGATAACATATTTAGGTATACTTACCAGATGGTAGATAATTTGAACTTCTGTTTATCAATTAAAAGCGTGTGTTTGTTATGATTTTATTTTCTACCTTTGATAGCTGAATTCTTAAGAATAATTCTAAATTGGGATAATATCATTTTTGCTGAGTGAATTGCGTTTTATAATTATTCTTAAATCAAAATGAATTCTTTTGCAATTGTTTTTAAAAAACCAATTTTCCTGCCCCATTAAAGATAGTCCAAAATTTATTTCGATAACTAATTTTTTAGATATAATCTACTCTTGTAAATTTTCATCTTTCTTTTTTCCTGGTCTCATCTTCTGAATTTTAGAAGAAAGCTTCATTTTAGTTTTTGAATTATAGTTAATTTATCTTAATATCTCGAATGTAATGTATTAAAATTTTATGAAAATGATCAAATGTATTGATTATATTTTTGTTTATATTTAAAATGTAAATTTTTTCCTTCATATTCTGAGTTTATGATTCGTATTCAATAATTAGTTTAATGCTTTGAAGACAATTTTCAAGAAATATTTCTTATTTCAACTGTATAGCTATGTATAATTTTGTGATTGAAGATGTTATACAGTTAATAGTAATTTTAAGTTATTTATTTGATAAATGCTATTCATACACAATATGAATAAGGCAACATTATGGGAAAAATATTTTAAGTTTTGGCTTAAATTTTTTTTTTTTTCTCAACTTAACCATTATAATCATTTGGGACTTTGAAAAATATAAATTTTTTGTACTAGATTTAACTTTATAACTGAATGTTACAATTTTAAATAGTAAATTGAATCTTGTATTTTTAACTTCAATTTTTAATTCATTTTTATTTTTCTCTTTGCAGACAGACAAAGGTGAGATTGATTCTATGAGAAAAATTCTTGACATGAAAATTAAGTATCTTTTTAAAATCAAATGTTTTGATAAGACATTTCTTTTTGAGCCTTGTTCTTTAATAAAATCATCCTTTTATGCAGCATCTGGCATACAATATTATTGGAAAGTCAGTTCTCCAAAACTGAGCTTTTGGAGACTGCTTCAGGTTTCATTTCCATTCAGGTTCCATGCCATTCGAAAACAGAATCTTGTTTATTGCAGTTTAATTTTATGATTAAGAATATTTTAAAGTATAGTGTTTGTTTTTGGTGCTAAAAGCGGAGCTTCGGATAAACTTCAACGTGTGACTGGAAAATAAATTCTTGTGTTTTTAGACTTAATGAACTGTAGCAGACACAGAAATATAAAATTTGTAATCTAAAGACTAATTCCAAAATAGCAAACATTTGCCATCAAAATTAAAAATTTGCCATAAGCCAACATATAATAGAATGTTTTTTCCTTTTTTAAAATTCTTGTTTTAATGAGTAGCAATTTTGTTGCAAATTCTTAATTATAATAGAAGACTTACTTCATCAATGTTACATATTTGTCTACAATTGGATTGATTAAATTTCCGTGTGTCAATCATTTTTTTCTCTCTCTTTTGCAGTTAACGCAATTACTTTTCTCATATATTTTAAATTTCGATATTAGTATTTCAAAATTTGTATCGTGCATTTGAGTAATCATTTTGCGGTTTGCTTGAATACCATCATAAGTACCCTCTGTCGTACTATAGCAACCATGCTGTGATTCAATAATTTTATCTGCTATAAATGCTATGTATTTACTCAATTTTCCTCTTTTTTTTATCAAGAAAAATCCTTAAATTTATATGATACACAAAAAAGTTTTGATGATGATACCACTGTTTTTTTTTTTTTTCAATGAACTTTTAAAATTATTGGTACTGATATTCTTATGGTTTTTTGCATTCCAATATTTTCATACAATATTAAGAAATGAGAATTGCACATTTGAGTAGTTACTTTCTTGGGCTAAATCCATTCAGCAGTGTTTTCTTTTTTTTACTTTTGGACCACTACCGGTGTTGATTTTAACATAATTTTCTAAAATCCCAATAGTATTATGTTACGGAAAATTTACCTCCAATACTCACTATTTAATGCAATGATTCTATGCTTTTTTTTATCAATAATTCTGCAGTTATCACTGTGTACTTATTTTTGTATATTTTTTGAAATCTGTGTATTTTTATTAAAATATTATTTATTGTAACATGCTAATGGAAATGCGACGGAATCCTGTAATTTTGTTTTATTTCCATAGACCCTTAATCCCTTTTTTTCGGATGCAATGACTACTTGCTAAGTGCAAAATGATGAAAATATGATTCCGATAATTATGTCTTTCAGCAGTCACATGTCGCAATTATCTGCTGTTAAATGATAAAAAACTGGAATGATAAAAGAAATTTGGTGCTGGGTTGAAGAACTCGGTGTCTTGAGACCATTAAATTTTAGCTGGCAGTTGAATTAGGAGTATAAAAACAAATTCATTAAAAGGAATTATTGACAAATTTTTTGGTTTTCTAATTTTTCTAAAAGCTTGCAACTATGTATAAAAAGAGCTAACTTTGGTCTTATTTTATTCAGTTTTTGATGACATTTTATAAATTGCATGTTTAATAACTGTTCAAAACTAATTATAAATTTTTCGGCAATTTTTTTTTTTATTGAAGTTTTAGCAAAGTGTCTAATTTCTGGTTAAGATCCCAATGAAATTGTAAAAGAGAAACCTTTTTCAGTAGTCGTACATCCTGTCATAGCATAAATAAGCTCTCTTTTACTTTTTTTTCTTCCTTTTAATGTTTCCTCTTAAAATAACTGGTTTTTACTGAGCGATTTGTCACTGTTTAACTTGAGAACATTTTTTTATAATACTAAACTATGTTATATATTTCATAAAAGGTTGTTCAAATTTGAACAAAATGACTCAATTTTATTCTTGGTTAAGTTATAGCTGAATATATATATACTTTCAAAAGTGTATAACTCTGAAACAAGTGGTTCAAAAGGCAGAAAATTGATATATTTTTCTAAAATCCATTTTGCTGACTCTATGATATACTCAATGAATGGACAACTTTTAGTTGATGTAATGTGAAATCACTCTAGTTGGAGTAAGTGATTGTTTTGATTCAAATTTAGTTGAAGAAATATTAGAGCTAAATAAAATGTAAGTTAAGTGCTGAAGCTAAACAAATAATCAGTACCTTAGCAATTCTCATTGCTAATAAGTTTGGTAGAACATTTGCTGTTTGCAAATTAAAGTTATGCTGTTTACTATTTGCTGTTACTCTAAACAAATAAAGCACTTTGTATAATACTGATGAGATTTTGGCAACCAAAATTTTTAATAGGAAATGTGAAATGGATAAAATAAACATCTCTTAATGAAATTTTATCAGCTTTGAAATAATTAGGAAGATAATGTGGTATATAATTTATTCTAGCCAAGCATTAAATTTTAAGTTAGATTTCAGCTTAAGAATTGTTGTTAGACATCCCCCTGGAGAAGGAAAGCCTAGACCAGATCCAGAAGGCCCTGTCGTGTCAGTTCCTCATATATCTGCAGAAAGTCCCGATCAACCAGCAGCTGCTTAAAGGAAGCACCAAGGCAAAAAAAAGGTGATCAGGAATTGCAGGTTGTGAGTAGGAACGAGGTTGGAAAGTACTCTCTCCATTTTGAAACCCCAAACACTTAAGATGGCCACTACAAAATCTGGCCATGGCCAATTGCAAAGGCCGTGGGCCGAAACATGTTAATGATAGGCTAGGGCGGTTGCCAACATACCACTGATGGGATGGAGTACAGCGCCACACTGGAAGCAAACGATGTTTTTCCAGGGAGTGGATCTCAGTGGGAGTAAAACTGTTCAAACAGTCCATAGGAAGAGCACAGTGGCTGTCAGCTTAAGATAAAGATCTATTTTTCAAATTTTTTTTTTTTCTGTAAAAAGAAATTGAAGCTTTAATAATTAGTTACAGAAAGAATTAATATCAGGAATAAATTCTATAAAGCAAGGTCCGGTTTTTTGTGCTAGAATTACTTTTTATTTCAAGTTCATTTGATTTGGCGTCTGAATTAAAAATCTTGGGCTACTTGTGTTATAGGTTAAAGTAATATTTTTTTGTTTTAAATTGTTATAGAAAATGGGGAATCAGAACACAAAGAAGATGAAGTAGATGATGAAGACAGCAAAGATGAGGATGATGATGTTGGTCCTGAGGGAGAAGGAGATGATTTTGATGAAGAGGAAGGAGATGAAGAATGTGGCGATGAAGATGGAGAAGATGAGGATGACGATGAGGCATAAACACCTGATTTTTCACAAATTATAAATTCATTTTCCCATTCATAACATTATGTAAACACAATTTTTTTCACTTTTATTGACATGTACAAAATCAGCACATTTTGTATTGAAATTTTTTCGTAATGCATTTTCTAAAATGTTATTTATTTGAAACAGATGTAATTTTGAAATGTTTTTAGACAAATATTGTGAGGACATTGGCCATTCCTAGTTAAAGGTAATAACTATCATATTTACCATAACTAATTCAGTTTAACCGCCTTCTTATGTGTGAAGGAATATAAACCTGAATACGTTTAGTTAATGACCTCCGTTTTTTGACTGTATGTATGGCTATCAAGCGTAACTACTCCATTGGTGACAAGTATATGTATCATTCTCCTTTTTTTTTATTTAAAAGTGTGAAAGGGTCAGTGTAGTATGCATTATTACTCATAGTTTTTCTCATTCATTCTGTTTTTTTTACCGTGTCGTTTGTGTGGTCGAGACATGATTATATAGCAAAGCAGAGAAAGTTTTCTCTTAGATTTGATCTCTTGTAGTTACGTTGCAGGATTTTTTTTTATATATATAAATCAATTTGTAAGTGTTACTGTTTCTCTAATGTTACCTGATACAAACAGTATTTAATAAAATGGGAGTAAATTTTGTACAATGATTTTATTTTTACCAGTTTATAAAAAATTAATGGAATTTACTGTTTTTAACATAAATTGACCTGCAACAATCTTAGTGTACATCAGGATTTAAGTTTTTTTTGTAGACCTTTTTCTCTGCTGTGTTTCAAATTTATCTGTCTTACTATAATCGCCTGTTTTTGGTGAAATAAAATGGGTACTTAAGACTGAATCTCTTTCTTTATATGTTTCATACACATTTCAACAAAAACACATTGACACAGTTTTGATTTCCTTATTAAATTCAAATAAGTTTATTTGCTTGGTAAACTCTGTCAATTCTCATAATTAGTTTATTTATTTGGGTATAAATTCAGATTGTAAATTGCATGTTGCTTTCATGGTGTTGGTGACTTTCTGCTTTATTGGAATTATCTTGAAGTAAGTAGTTAAGCTGCATTTTATCTTTAAATTTTTGCCTCTTTTTTCTAAATAAAATTTTAAATCAAAGAACATTGAATGATTTTTTATTTTACATGTCCTAATGTTCTTTAAGCATAGATTTAGTCAAATGAGCTATAGGGCAGGGTTCGTACAGACTCCTTATACTCCTTAGAAACTCCTTGGAAATAAAAAAGTCCCCGAGGAGTACTTAGAACTACTTAGATTTCCAAATTAGTCCTTAGAAACTCCTTAGATTATTGTGTTGCATAGATGAACTTACTAATTCTGCTGATGAATTTGCTGTCAAAATCTAATAATTCAAGAAAAATTTTAAAAGAAAAAAAATTTAATTGCAAGAGTTAGATGAAAAAAAATAACTGCAAATAATTTTAATTCTACATGTTACAAGCAAACTTAATTAATGATTTACTGTGATTTTTTTTTGTTTGTATAAAATGCCCTAGATTTTCTTATGTATTCAAATTTAAAAATATAAGATTGGTAGGTTTTTATGTTTATCTTTAACATCTATACTATGTACTTCAACGAGATTTATTAAAATATTTGAAACTGGAAAATATATTTATGTGGGAAAGTGATAACTTCATTTATTTTTCTTGATGAAGTTTGACAAAGTCAAAATTTATATCAAAAGGGTTAGAAAAAAATATCTTATGCAAAATATACATTTTTGCAAGTTCTTTATAATAAACTGCTTTTTAATTTGGGGAAGAAAAAAAAACTCTCGTTATCTTTTACGCCAAGTTTTAAAATATTGGATTTCTTCTGATCTCTGTATGAACCCTGGCTATAGGATTTGACATTTTTCACCTCATTGGAGCCTATCTAAATTTGGTTGCTTAAATTTTGAAATCAGATAATGTAGATGTTTGTTGAGGGGTTTTCCATTTTTCACTATTGACTATAAATTAGTTTTAAATGAGGTATCTGAGTTAAAAATCTGAACTTAGTAAGTAAATTGTTAAAAAGAGACTGCATTTTTGCTCCCTAAAAGGCAAGCCTTGTACATATTTTTGTACCTTCTAAATTTCCTTTCGAAAAATTTTGCTCTCTTTGAGCTTTTGCAGATGTAAAATTTTCAATCTATCTTTCTGAAATGGAGGCATTTTTACCTTAGAAGTAAGTTTTAGTAGCCTAACCTGTTTCAATTTTAGTATTTAAGCTAATAGGAAAATTGCTTTTCTTTTTTGAATCAGGTATGTAGGTAGTTATTATTTACCATTTTGTTTGTAATCTGACTAATTTTTTTTAAAGGTAAGCTTTTCAGCTTTATTACAGTTCACACTTTATCAATGCCTTTTTCTATTGATTGTCTCATTCTGGTTGTATTGAATGGAAACTCTTGCTTGTTTTCATTTTTTCCATTGTTTGCTTCCTTTGGGGAATTGATGTTAGAGTAGGTAGCATGACTGCTAAATCTACTGGATTTTGCCAGTTTCCACTGGGTTAATAAAAATTTCCCTAACATTGAGTAAGTTTCATTTAAAAAAATCCTATTGAGATGCTTGCTTGAATATTTAAATAAGTATTACTAATACATAATAAAGCAAGCCTCATTTACAAGATTCAGTTAACTATCTTTGATTTAAATTACTATTCAAAATAATGAATAAACATAATGCGTTAAGATTACTTAATGTGAATTCGTAGCAACAATTATCATGAAATTTATATTGTAAAATCTACTGGATTTCTTTTCATCTGTGTAAGTTTTTATTGCTGAAATATGGCAGTATATCATTAAATCGGGACTTTTCACAGATTGGGAGCTGAAGCTAAAAATTTATCACTCGGTTAATCGACGATCGTATTAAGAAATATCCCACAAAAACACTGAGCGAAAAAAAAGACAGCGTTGCGAAATTGCTTGTAAACAATCTTCGGAAGAGAAAACTGAAAGTTTCAATCTGTTAAAGGGCTGCACAAATCTTATGGAAATTTTTGAATTTATCACCAACACACATTTGGAATTAAATTTTCAGCCAATTAGATATTACTTTCGCAAGATTTGTGTGGTGTCCTTTCATCTGAAAACTTATGCCTGAGAAAGGTGCGATCGTATAAATTTTTTTAAATATTTTTTATAACCAAAATTACAGGCGATCGCAACACTCGAAAACGCTGGTTTCATGCCTTTGCCCCTTCCCTCATCAATTTAAATTTCCTTTCTTTTAGAACTATGTTTAATGTAGTTTTTAGTTCCATAATATAATAAAAAATCAAGACAGAAACTAGCGTACTGAATTACTTTGGGATTCAACATTTTACTCTGTTTACGCACTCAAAAAATATTAAAAAAAAATTTTTTTTTAATGTATGATTTTCTTAATTATTAGAATTTTTTTTTAAATAAATTAATTTTTTTACCATTTTTATGAAAATAGGTTCAGTATTTCTTTAAGGAAATGACTAAAAAAAATTTATAATTTTGGAAGGTAGATACGAGTATTCGCGATCCTACCGCAGAATAATCGCTAGTCTTGATAACTTCCGGGCAGTGTCCCACTAGAAACTTAAAAAAAAAAAAAAATCTGAAGAACCACCACACAGGGCAAACCTCTACACTTTTTTTTTTGCTTTTGCAAGTTTAAAATCCATTGGGCGAAAGTAGTTGGCACGGAAATATTACCGAAGTGTTGAATAAAACATTGAAAACCCCGCTTTTTGCGTATTTAATGGAAACAATCGTGAAAAGAGAAAATTGTGGACTTTCGCAAACAATGAAAAAAGCATTTTTAAGGGCTTAAAAAAGAAAATTCTTCAAAACACTACGCAACCTGCTTTTTGTAATGATTAGGGAACTCCAAATTATTGATGGTGATTTCAATTCGGTAATAAATTCTGCTTTTCCGTCAGGAACCAATTATGTTTGCATTGTCTTCAAGCACAGATTTGCACTTAACTTTTAAATCCTTCAGCTAGTCAAACAAATGGTGTGAATTTCGATGGACGATCTGTTTGGTAGATAAGTTATAAAACCACTGAAAAAAAAAATTTTTTTTTTCATCACCCGTTGAACTACAGTTGAAAATGATCTCCCTAGTATAAATTTGTTGTGACAATAAGTTCAGGAGAGGAAACAAAATCACACAGTTGTCAAGTACTGAGATGCAGTTATAATTTGAGCCCATTAGCTGGTCGTAATTTTGATTGGCTATAAAATTTTCTTTCGAAAAATCTAGTTAAAAGCAATAGTTCGGACGTAAAGCTATCCTGTAGATACAAGTGCTCTAACTAGTTTGCTTTTCTCCATCGTTACAGGCACAAAATGAAGTTCAGGCTGCTTTTCGAAAACTTTTTAGCAGGGATGAGATTGGCCAAAAGGCAAAAAACTGAATTTTCACACGAGTAAATCTTGCGTGATTTATAGCGAAAATACCAGTAACATATTCTCATCCAGTTTCGCTGATGTTGTAATGCCTATTAGCAATAATCGTCGATAGAAAAACTGCCACATTTATGGTAGTTCAAGAAAAAAACTTACCTTTTACAAGAATCGCTATAAAGGATTTTAAAATCGCGTGAATATGAATCACGTGAATGAAACTCGATATTGGATTTCAAAAATGTGAAAATACAAATCGTGATGCGTAATTTTCAGATCGTGTAAATACGAATTACGATGGAGAATTTGTAAATGGCGTGAATTCCAATCCAAAGCCTAATTTTTAGATCACGTGTAAATACGAAAATAGATGTTGGATATTACAACCGCAAAAACGGATTACGACATTGGATAAACTCTCATCAATACGAATTGTTACATAGAATTTTAAAATCGCCTCAATACAAATCGCGATATTGGATTTTTAAATCTCGTAAATAAGAACTGCAATGAACGATATTGAAATCGCGTGAATAAGAATCGCAACACGCAAGTTTTAAATTAGGTAAATACGAAAATCGATGTTTGATATTAAAATGCAGCGACGTCTGGATTACTATCTAGCGGACGGGTGGAAAATTTCTTATTTTCTGCTCGTAAAAGCTAATAGCTAAAATAAGTAGGTATGCGGAGGGGTTGGCAGCTACGCAGTTTGAATTTTCTATATATCTTTCGATATATTATATCTATATATCAAACTGGAAATAAATATAATTATTTTATTTCAACGATTGAATTTTCAGAAAAAGCGGAATATTTATATAAAAAAAAAAACTTTTAGAGAATCGAGAGTTTTTGATAAAAAGGCGGAAATCCGCTAAAAAGCGGGAAAATCTCGTCCCTGTTTTAGCGAATAATTTTAAAACTGCTGTGAGTTTTTAAGAGTTATTACTGCATTGCCAAGAATATTTAGATTTCAAGAAAAAGGCTTGTGGCCACTACACCAATTATGGGAATGCCGCAAAATGACTATTTAAAGAAAAGTCAGTTTCGTAAAAATGAGAGCCTTTTAACTGTTTCGTTTTCCGTGTAAGTATTTGCCTCATCTTGAGGATGATCTCCGAAGCCAGGAAAGAGGTTCAACCGGTTCTATTAGAGGACGAACTTTACTTTGAGAAAAGCAGAAACCTCTTTACACGCATCAGAACTGGTGGTGTTCGTTTATAATCAGGGCGTTGATAAGGTAAATATTTACGTTTTGGCTGGATAAGGTTAGCTTAGCTACGTCACAAAACTATAAGTTGACAAGCTGTCTATTTTTTTGTTTCAAAAAGTTCTTCAACGATGTGTGCTGGGCTTATAAGAATGTGCAAAAATTAAGAATTATTTTTTTAAATGTTTAAGTGATTTGTTCCTTCTGAAGTCCAGATAAATTCTAACTCTAATTCGAAGGCATTTAAACTAATGCTTCCCCTCCCCTTTTCTAAAAATTGCCTGAAGCTCAAATTGTTGAAAGCTGTTTTTAATTTCGAGATAGCTGAAGATCGTAGAAGCTGCAAGTCGCCAGAAGCAGTTAATAATTAAAATGAACTTTTATTTTCAAAATTAAAATAAAGTTGATTTTCTGAAAGAAAAATCGTAATTTTTATTTTAAAGTTATTAAAGCAGATGCATGTAAAGTACCCTTTTTTTTTCATAACTTGGTAAGCAAATTCTATGCCTCTATTATTATTCTTAAAAAAAAAAAAAAAATGCAGAAGGGCCTATTCACAAATATTGGGAATAGGATCGGTCCCAGCCGATATTCAAGCGCAATATGTAAGCAAAAATATTTTTGGCTTCCCCATTCATTAAGTATAATAATAATAAGTACGTATAAAATAAAGTAAATTTTATTTTATAATTTTAAAAATAAACCAAAATTTATTTTTATAAAATTGCAGTATGAACTACTCATACAATGTACTTTTATTTTAAATTCTATAGAGCGAAAAAAAACAAAAAGAAAGAATACCGTTAGCAATTTTAGAAGAGCAATACCTGTTTAGCTATCTTTACTTTTTTTTATCTACTTATCATTTTCAAAAATGAAAAAAAAAGTATTATTTTGCATACAATTATAAACCTTACCCCCTTATATTTTTAAGTTATTTTATTTTACTACATATTTGTATGCCAAAATACAAAAGGAGAACGAAATATTGCCAAAAAATTCAAAAATGTTCAATTATATACATATTAGATTATTCAGATGTTTCATTCATTGTTTTGCACAATGAGGTCTTGAATTATAGTGTAAAATCTAATAAATGATGACTTCAACAACTCATCTCATGAATGCATGCCCTTACACCACTAGATTTCCATTTCCAAAATGGCTGATATTTTGCTAAAAAATACAACTGATTTCTTTACAGATTAGGCATTTAAATTTTGCAGACTAGAAGCAAAAGGTTTCTGATAAGGTGGGTATTTACATAATCGACCAGTTCACAAAATATATTAGCAAAAAATATTTAATTTATCACTAAAATTACGTAAAAATAACGCAAATTTGATGATTTAAAATAAAATAAAAACTTGATGCTTTTAAATAATTTCATAATTTTCATTGAATATTAGAAACCCCCACCCCGAAAAATAGTGAAATAAATTGTTTATATTTAAGAAATTTCAAAATTATTATTTTAAGAAAAACAGCAAGAAAGTGAAAATGAACTAACTAAAATATTAAAGTAATCACTAAATTTAAAAAATAAAAAAAGCAAGATTTTGAACTCTTCATTGAAAAAAAAATTATCATATATTTAAAATTTTAATTTATCAAGAAGGAGGGGTAACAATGTTTTAATTTTCAATTTTGAATTAAAATTAAGTAACAAAATATAGACACACATAAAATTTCGAAATCTGAAAATCAATAAAATGGTAATATACATTATTTTTTTAAAAGTCTGGCAGATAAAATGTAATCTAACCGATAACTAACCAATGATTTTAATTTAAATTATTTTAGATTAAAAAAANAAAAAAAAAAAAAAAAAAAAAATAAGTAACATAAAATTCAATAGAATGGAGAGAAAAAAAAATTTAATAAGTAATTTTAAAAAAAAATCAATGCACATTTAACAAGTTCACATTATTTAATACAAAAATTAAAGCATTTGCATTTTAAACAAATATGCTAATAATTTCTTTTTTAAAACAGTTAAATTAATATTGAAAAGCAAAAATTATTAATATTGAAAAGTTAAAATTATTTTACTGAAGAAAAGTAATAAATCTACAAATGCATAAATGCTTTTATAATTTGAAAAACTAATATAAAATTTAGATAGCTTTTTTTTTTTTTTAAAGTAATGTGCAGCAGGAAATTCTAGAAGTGTCTGCTATTCAATTCCTCCAACACAGCGATTATTATTTTTTTTGTTGATAAATCAAAAATGACCTTTCGCCCATTTATTTCTTAGAAATTTTGTATCAACGACTTTTTATGAATAGGCCAAAGTTGCCTCAACATTTGTAAATTCTTCATTTTTCTTTACAGAAAAAACGCCTACCATCACAAAACTAATTTTTCTTCGAGCTTTGCAGGAGGTTAAATTACTAAATTCAAGTTGACGTCTCCCCACCCAAAAGGGTTTTCTTAAAGTAACGTTAAAGAACACTCAATAAGCCTTAGTCGCGCCATGAGTGACCATTCTCTGTGCCTGCAGATCTAAAAATATCAGGGCAGGATGTCTAACACCCTGATGAAAAAAGATAAAACAAGGAATGCTTCACAGTTCGTAGGATTATTTTGTTACCAGAGTATTATATATATTTTACAGGGTGCGTAGCGTTTTAAAAAAGTGCTTAATTTTCCCTTTTTCAGACTGAGATTTTTCCTTTACTATGTTGATTTTCGCTTCGAATTATGCAAAAAGACACAGTTCACATTGTTCTATTCAACGTTTTCGCAATTAATTCAACCCCAATCTATTTCGGCATATTGTCAGTCCGTAGCGTATGAAAACGCCATTCGTTTACACGATTCAAAATTTCATGATTTTTGACAATTGTCAAAAACCATGCCAAATTTTTTTTTGACATGATGGTTAAAATAAGATAAAACCGTCAATTGTCAAAAAACTTTCCAACCTTGCCTAATTAATGATTTTTTTTTTTAAAGTGCTTAAAATATTTTTGAGTGCTCATTTTTTGTTGAATAATTTGGTTATGCACTCTGTTTTAACATTTTATTTTAGGAAAAATAAGTGATTTTTAAAGTTTTTTCAATAAGCGAAAAAAAAAGAATAAAAAGTTTTTTAAATCTAACTTCTCCCCAAGCAGCTTACCAGGCTTACACCACGGACCGGTCTTGATGGGAATCAATTCTGGACAAAGGTTAGATAAATTGTGATGGAATTTGGTCCTCAACTCAGATTTCTAAAATTTATTTTGTAATCATAAAGAAGTTTGTGTAGGAATAATTATAAAAAAAATCATTAAAATTCCTGATTAATAAAAAGTTAATTAAACATTGATATGCTTTAGAAAATTGTGTGTTGTACTTTCAACCTTGTAACCTCATGTTAGAAATCAATATAAACGCTCAGAATCTAATCTTGCTCACATAGAACAAGGTAAAAAAATGCTATTTCGGTAAAAATTTGTTCTTTTTTTTTTTTAAAGATTGTTACCATGCAGTATAGTTCTTGCTATTAAGTTGTATTTTGCAAATGTATGGCTGAAAATAAAGGAGAAAGAAAGAAAAAACACACACACAAACAAGAGCAGAAACTACTTATTTGTTTTATTAATGAAAATTTCCCAAACTCCATAGCATAATTTGTAAGTCTTTGTTTAACAAAAGATTATAAAAATTTTTTTCAGTTAACAAAATGTTATAAATATTTCTTATAATAATAGGTATAGCTGCAGCAATTTGGATATTGTTGACGATATGTTCTCAAGCCAGTAGTGGATAGCATTATTTTCTTGCAGCTCGAATAAGCCCCCATCAGAAAGTGACTGCAATCATAATTAATTCATCCAACGAAATAATAAAACATAAAAATAATTTATAAATTTTACAACCCAGACAAAGAACAAAAAAAAAAAACATCATTACAAGACTGCTCATCAAATGCATGAAAATCCATTCATATTTATTTGACACACTGGTGGTCAGTCAGTTGTCAGAGACAACAGTCATGTATTTGACGAATAACTGACAGACTAATAAAAAAGAAAATCTCAACTCAAAATTCAAGAGTAAGTACTTCACCTATACTATCACAGAGCTATTAAATGACCAAAATATATATATCTTTTAAAAACAACAACAAATTATCATCAAGTAAAAGACTTAAACAGCAAAAACTATTAAGTAAAAAAATCAATTTGATTGTAATTTTTTTTTTTAAAAAGTAGGACTATGTGTACAAAAGGTACTTGCACTGGGCATGGCTAAAATTAGCCACAGAGACACAGTGGACAGCGACACAACAGCATTAGTAAATCCTGTACTGCTAACCCGTTTTTCTTTCATTTTTTTTACACTATTTTGACATAACAGTTAAAATTTCATAACAACAAACAGCAAAACAAAGATTTTTTTAAATGCTTTTTGATAAAAACAAATTCAAATATAATAACTTAATCTACAGCTACAATGCACTGAAGAACCCATGATAAAAGAAAAACAACAAAAAAAAACAAAGATTTATGAAAAAACTTTTTTTTTAAAACATTCTTTTGCTAAGAATTACAATGATTTCATTTCATTTAATTGTTTGGCACCCACATTCTGTTGTTGGGCAGCAGTTATCACGAATCACAGAGTGATGTTTAAAATATGAGCTCTGATGCAATTCACGAGACAAAACGGACAAACTTACACACATAAGATCGTGCACAAAGCAGCGGACAAAAGACATCAGATAGGACAGTTTAGAACAGTGAGCTGAGCATGGGTTCCATGCAAAATATGTGCTGTATTGACAAGACATAGAGCCACAGTACTACATTTAGACAAATTCCTTTTTTTTAAACTATGTTTTTTTTTCACACCAATAAATTGATACACAAATTTTGTCTGGTACATAAATTCATTTTAGTGCCAAACACATTATAAGGCATACATATTAGTAAATACATGCTTTACAAATTTTTTTCTTTGGTTTCCCTCTTGAAGAAACACAAACCGGTTGACAAATTTGGACTAGAGTTAAGCCCACAAATTCTTAAAACATCAAGCTCATGCTGAGCAGTCTCTTCTTTTTTTTTTTTATAATACTGGGTCACAATAATAGTATAATTCTATAAACATTTTTTTTTTTCCAAAAATGATATAACTCTACACAGATAAAGGAGAGACAGTTCACGACAATTTCCTCACAGATTAAAATTGTATCTGATACCGAAGAGATCGCATCTTGGTCGGATTTAGCGGTGAGCAGTCAATCCTATTTTTTTATTTTATTAATAATAATTTTTTTGTTTTAAATATACTTTGCAAGATTTAGAAACTGTACACTTGGACGAGAGTATGAATACAAATTGTTTCTCAGGTAAAATAAAATAATGATATATGTGTGCTAAAACTAAGTCTCTTTTACACATACCGATAAATTCCCGAAAAAATGCTCTTTTCAATAGAAGGAAACACCTTTTCTTTGGTGATCCTTGACAAATTATAACAGTACCAACGAGACTACATTAAGATAAAATAATACTGCACACAAATTAACAAAGCAACCGAACATACCATACAACATTTACTAACTTATTTACTCACAAAAAAAAATTTACACAACTATGAAACAAAATGCAATAAATGAACCAAATCTCTGAAGCATTCATGGTCATGGCTAAATGTTGGCAGGCAGGCTCGAAGCCTAACAGGGAGTGAGGCAGAAGTAACAAGTGATGAGGGGGGTGCCTATATTATAAAATCAGACTTTACACAGAAAGCTACTCTTTTATAAAGAAGGAGGCAACCTGCAAAAGAGGCGAGGCACTTTGTCAAATTTTTTTTGTCAAGAAATTCATTTTTTTTTCTTCTTCAAATCATCCACTAACAAATATTTTTACAGCTTCCTTTTACACACACTAAAGATAAATTCACAACCATTGTAAACACTAAAAAACAATGACATTCACTTTAAAGACTAGTTCTTCTCCGAGAATAAACTACAAAAAATTTAAGATCGATTTTTTTTTTCCCTTTTAAAAAACAGCAGCGCTTTATGCATTCAATCATCACAAAAATGTACAAATTTCACATCACCCATGACAGACTTTGATATGACTGAATACAACAATGAGAGTCACAAAATATTTATATGAAAAAACGCAGAATGAGAATTTTTCATCATATAGTTTTCTTTTTGTTTCACATTAGCCACTTGCATGCATGCTTCAGAATAATATCAATAGATTTTTTTTTTCTTTAACAGAAATATATACTTTGTAACACATATTTTAAACAAAGAATAATGACAGGATAAAATTCTTCGAATATACACACACATTTGCAGTAGGAAATCTGCATGCAAGCTCGGTATATAACATTTAATATGGCTTGCTAGCGTCCTTTGAACGTTTCAGTTGCACTTTTAGCCGTTTCATACCAATCTGAAAACCATTCATAGATTGGATGGCAGCCTGTGCATTACTAGGGTTGTCGTAGCTCACAAAGCCTAATGAATAAATAAATAAGAAAGAGTTGAATTAAACTTTACTTGACACATAAATTTGCAGCAAACTGAATGCATTTTTAAGATTAAATCATGATTGTCTAAGCTTAATTTCAATGAATAATTATCTTACCAAAACACTTGCTGAGGTTTGTTTGTTTATCGATGAACACTTTAGCAGAAATAACATTCCCAAAGGGTGCAAAGGTCTGTGCTAAATCTGAATCTGTAAACTCTTGAGGCAAGTGGTAAATGAACAAATTAGCTCCTTCTGGCCCTAAAAATGATTCAATGAACTTTTCCAACAGTCAAATAAGAAACTAAATTTAAGACTATAATTTTGAATATGTTAAATAACTTCGAGGAAAAAAAAATCTGTACACATGTATAACATTAATCTAAAGAAAAGAGGTTTATATTCATATTTTAAATCACAAATGAAAAGCGTTGAAGACGGAATCGCAGAATCAATACTATATTCTGTTAACAGTGTTTCTCTAACTTTCTCTTTTCTTTTTACATAAGAATATATCTCAACCTTACTCTTATTTAGCGTTTTTAGAATCGCGGCTAGCCCTACTTGCCCATTGATCCCAATAAATGCACCTTCTTTGCCCTTTTTGTAAATATAAACCGTGATTCCTTAACACTGCCTACTTATTCATATTCTATTCTGAGAAAAAAAAATTTATTCACTGTTTAAATAATAATTACACACTGGTAAAATTTTCTGTGTTTATAGATCTAATACTATTGCAAATATTTACTTTTTATGGATTATTCTCAACTGCTTAAATTTTTAAAATATTTTTTAAAAAAAATGCACCTTTAAATGTTCATTTTCTCATAATTTTCAGTTTATATTATAGATTTTTTTTTAAAGTTGTTTATCAATTAATCCCTTTTTTTTTAATTTTTTAGTTTACGCTTTTTGAAAACAATTTGTGCACATTGTCTTTTAGGATGTTTTTAATTTTTTTTTCTAACTACAAACTTTTCTCTGATTTTGATAATGAGGGAGAATTACTTTTTGAAACATGCACATAATAAAATAAATATAATATAAAGCACATAATAAAATAGTATAAGAGAGTAATTTAAAAATAGTTGAGGATAAAATTCAGTTATTACATAATATTACACATTTTGATACATTTTTACGGCGTTAAATGAGTGCCCTGCCCATTTTTATTTATAGGGAGAACTCTGCATTAAATATATTACTGATACTTTAATAAAGAGACATTTTTATACATACTAAATTATGTAATAAATGATAATTAAAAACAATTAACTTAGATTTTTAAAATACATAAATATCAATTAACATGACAAATATACAACATTTTTGAACTAATTCTTAAACTGAATATTTTTTTATTTCCTTTTGCTAATGTACTACTCCCTAGGTTTTGTCTCAATAGAACTGATACTTGATGATGGAATAGTATTTTCTACTAATTATAATGCGATAACTGCATATTGCCGTAAATTAATAATTGTCCATAATGACAGAACAAATAATGTCAGACAGAGTGTTTATAATTGTCTTAAAATTAACTTTAGTCCATGTTCAAAGAGATATAGGTCACAATAATATTGAAGCTACGGACTTGGAGAGCTATTTAACTGGTGAAGAGCTTTGATTTAAGTATAGATGTTCACACTTGCTATCATTTTCACTAGATATACTGAGGAAACCAACCGACTTTTAAAAGAATGTATCAGAAAAACTTAGTTTGTATCCAGGTAAATTATATAGCTAAAAAATACACTTCTGTAGCAGGTAGACACAAATAACAAGGTAAATAAAAAAATATTTCCTTTGAGATGCATTTAATACATTTCTTAGCAAGATCAAACAAATAGCACAATCATAATTTTTCTTCTTCTTTGTCTTAGAAAAAAAAAAAATCAAACATATCTTTGCATTCTTCTGTAATTTTTAAAAGTAAATAATAAACTATTCACTTTATATATAAAATAACAACAACAGAAATGTAGCTGTATATTTCACAAAAAACATTTATCCAAGAAAAACTGTGATGAATTATGTTTAGTATGTTTCAGTTTCATATTATTTGTTACTGAGACCCATTTATAAGCAATGCAAAGTTTTTTCTTCCTTCTTTTTTATAACAGGAACACTAGATTTGTGCTAGATTTTTGAATTGAAAACAATATAAAACATACCTTCAGGTTGCTTACCAGGAGAACTTTGAGGTTGTTGGATACTGACAGGAGGAAAGCTTCCTAAAATAAAATGAATTTATCAATTTTTCACAATAATAATTTCAACAGAACAAAGAATTTTTCAAGAAATTAATTTTTTTTAAAAACTTAAGTTGAAACATAGGGTTTCAAAACTAGGAGTAGCAATTTGATATTAAATTTTATCTGACTAGTATAAATAGTCTTTTATAAAAAAACAAAACAAACAAAGATTACATTAAATAAAAATTTAAAAAAAGAAAAAGCATTTGTTGAAATCTTAAAAGGAAATGTAAATGGAATTTAAAAAAAATTGAACTTTTCCTTTTATCAAAATAAATGCACATTTACGGCATACTCATGATATGGTAAAAACCTTGGTAAATCAAAAAGAATTTTTCTTCTTTATTCTTACGTATTCATCTATTGTTAATTTCAATTATTATGCTGAAGAGTTTACACTTAAAATTTTGTTACATAAAATATTAGGCTTAGTTGACAAGCCATTTTTCACAGATTAGACAAAGCAAATAAAGAAAGATTCACTGTTTTTATCAATAATTTATAGGGAGATGTCATCAAAGCTGCATTTTAACCAAAGTGGATAGAGCAATCGCCTCCCAATGAGGCAACCCATGTTCGAATCCCAGAGGTGGCAGGTTGATATGAATTCTGCTACCAGCTTATACTGACTACAATGCTGACATAAAATATTATCTGTGGCAGCCGGATGATGGGTTAGTAATCTTTTCCTGTCGGGTTTCAGGTTTAACTATGGTAGGTTTTCCTCACCATGTTACACAAATGCGGGTTAGTACCATCAAAAAGTTCTCAACGAAGGCTAGGTGGCCTTAATGCTTGATCCAGGAGTTACATTGTTCTCTGGATTCGGTTCAAAATTACACAGTTGAACGTTGACACTCAAACTCAGTATTGGATCGGCACTCAACACCAGTTATAAAATATAATACAACCTCTTGATCAAAGATGTGAACTTGGAGGTATGTTAGGCTGAAGATTAAACTATTTCAGAACAGCTGGTTTTGCGATAGAAGTAGAAAAGGAAACTATATCGAACAAGGAACTAAAGCCAGCACAGACTCCAAAAAATGAAATGCAGTTCGAAAAAAGGAAAACTTCAAGATTAGCCTATCTTTCTAGAAACGTAACTATCGCAGACTTTCCTGAATTTTGTCAAAGGGAGGGAATTAGTGATTAAATAATTTCTTAATTGATTTTTTTGCACTATCTGATGATAAAGAAGAAATTGATGCCTCAAAATCATCCCCTAGCATTACTGTGCCTCAAGCTATAGTTGCTATTCTTTACGAAAAGATGGAAACTTAGCTTCTATTTTTTTAAATAGAAAAATTTTATGACGTCAGGCATGATTTTGGACTTCTAGAAGAAATTCTAGTAATATAAGTTTATTGCAACTAATTCCTTTAAATTTAAGGTAATTATTTTTTACTAATTTTAAAAAATAAAATTATTAGTGTTATATTCAAATTTATTGTAAACTATGATTAGTTACAACATATTTACACTACTACTTTGTTTATCTATTATGAGATAAGTTTTTAGAATATTACTCAGAATCTTGAGTTCTTTAAGATGAAATTTTACATTTTAATTATGACCTTGTTACCTTGAAAACTCATTATCTTAAATTTGTTAGCGTCCTTTTGACTACAAGAGAATACTATACTAATAAATAACAACTTTTATAAAAATGCAATTCTTACTCAAAACATCTCAATTTTACTAAATTAAAAGTACAAAAACATTATCACCTTCACAGAGTTAGAGTTTAATTTTTTAAGTGCTGACTGATAAATTTCCGAAATAACCTAAGTGTGTAAAATTACGTAAACAACAGAAGTAATTAAAAGACTCACTAAACAAAATTATAAATAAAGAAGCATAGAATTTACCTGCAAAAGGCTGAATACCTTGAATACCAGAATAAGCCTGTGTAAGGGCATCAAGATTAGACCCATTTGCTGCTAAACTTGTCATGTTGCCAATACTAAAAGACAGGGAAAAATTTTAAATTTATTACGATGTTTAAAAAGCTCTATTTAAGTTTAAAACACAAAATATAATTTATCATAGATTTTTTTTTTTTTAACAATTATAAAAATTTCCACAAAGGCTTTTCAAGAAAAAAAATACATAAAATTTTCAGTGAACTAAGAGTTAAAATGCTTCAACATATGTTTTAAGTTTGCTAACATCTTAAGAAAACATGAACGTTTTCCAACTATGGATACTTGATGAGACATTTGAGGTGAATTCAGTATTTCATATCGAAATCAATTTTGTCTAATTTTCAGAAAGCTATTATCGTAAAATGTTTCTCATTCTGTCTTTTGAATTCAGTTAATTCTTATTAGTGCCACTGGAAAAACATGTTAACTGTATAGTTTATTTTCATGAAATGTAAGTTTCCTACATAATTTTTTTGTCAGTAACATTTTTAAACAAAATTTCATTTTAAGATAGCCTTTAAAGAATATCGAAATTCGTGAAATGCTGTGCAGAATAACGTAAATACACATACCCATTGACTCCAGCAAATGTTCCAATGTTTGATATAGATGTGTTATTAAGACCCAAAGCCATGCTTGTCACCGGGCTAACAGAACCCACTCCACTCATGGGAGAGCTTGCACTTGATGTACTATTTGACATGTTGCCTAAAAAGGTAAAATAAGGAGAAAGTATGAAACCTTAAATTAATCAAATGATGATTTTATTAAAAGAAATAACGCATAAATAATAATAAATAACTAATATACCTGAAGCGCTCAATCCATGCATTCCAGCAGAACCAGCACTACTGCTGGCAGCAGCAAGTGCAGTTAAATTTTGCATCATCATAGAGTTTATGCCAACTGTAATAATATAATTGAGATAAAATTCAATAAACATACAATAATTTTTAAAATAAAAACAATAGAATAATATAATTCTATATCCCTGAGTTTATGAAGGTTTTTTTTTATTAAAAAAAATAAGTCAACATTCTAACAAGAGCGTTCTCATTTCCTTTCCAGTTAAGAGATTTCATGTCCAGTCAAACTGTTCTATTCGGACATTTGACAAAGGTTTTAATTTTTAAATACCTTTATTTTTTCATTAACGGATTCAACGTTCATAGATGAGCTTAAAAAACTAAAAATAGAAATCATGTTATGTGCAAAACAAATTTAATTTAAGCAAGAAAAAAGTGTATGTAGGAAGCATAGAATATTATAAAAGTTTTAATAAATAATAAATCAATGCACATTTATTTTATGTGAATATGAATTATGACGTATCTTGTTAAATCCCGTGAATGCTAATCTTGATTTGCCATTTTTAAATCGCATAAGTAATTTTAGATTGTGTGAATACATATCACTGGGCATTATTATTTTATTTCTTCAACAAGTATCACTATGTGCAATTATAAATCAAGTTTACATAGGTAGGAAAAAGAGCAAAAAGAAATAATTTTTCTTTTAGAAAATGGAAAAATCAGAAATTTCTTTCTATTAAATTGAGGAACTCAATTTAATAGAAAGGAAAAAACTTATTTCTAAACATTGCACTCTCTTTAAGAAAAAAGAACTATGGCAAAGAAAACAATATATTGTTTAATTACAATTAAAACAGGAGGGAAAATTTTAAACTTAGTCGTAAAAATTTTAAAATTATCTTAAAAATACGACTAAGTTTAAAATTTTCCCAACCACTTGCACATGGTCTTATCATGTAGGTAATTTATTTCTTTTTCCGAAAAATAGCATAAAGAAAATAAATATGCATATGAAAATGCTAGGATATTGAGGATAAATGCTTTTCTTTTTGCATTTTAGTTCTTTTTTCTATATAGAACACTTAAGGACTTTTTTGATCATTTTTTTCTTTTTGAGATTCTTTTCTTTTGTATGACTTTCAAATGAAATTTTCATTTTAAAAACATTTTGCTTGTAAGTTAATTTCTCTCTTTAAAAATTACTGCAAATTATGCATTGAATCTTGTCATTTTAAATATCCTTGAATAACAACTGTTGATGATAAAAAGAGTTTTTCAAAATATAAATGTTTGCTCATCAAAAAACATTTGATAATACAATGCAATTTTAATATTCTTGAAGATGGCAACTGAAATTTTATATTAACAATCATCATAATAGCAATTATTATAAATTCTTAATTATCTCTATCAGGTATTAATTTTATTCATAAATCACTTATTTATTTTTTTATTAAATTCATGATTTTTTTTTAAAAAAAATGCTAATATAAGACAAGTTTTCTAAAAATTTAAGGTTATTTTTCATTTTTAGAGGTTTTTTTTCAAGTTAAGAATGCTAAAAAAAAAAAAAAACTCAAAGTTATCAGCATCTAAGCCTAGGATATAATGCTTTGTCATGCCAATTAACCTGATAACAGGGTGCGTAGCCAAATCTTTCAACAAAAAATAAGCACCTTTTAAGCACTCAAAAAATATTTTTAAGCACTATATACATTAACAAAATGCAAAGTAATTTGCAAAGACATGATCATGATAAAATAACAAAGTTTCTGACAAAAAACTCTCTTGATTATATTAGCCATTAAAAATGAACAAGATATTTTTCGGCTCGATTTCAGAGGGTGGAAAATGGAGCTTGAAATTGAGAATATCTTGTAAATTGCAGGCAGAGTTGTACATGAAAGTGCAAGAATCTCATCGAACCCAGCTCATTAGACACACACGTGACCTCGCAAGTATTTCACCAAACCTGTAAAATGATGGGCGCTTTCATACGCTATGGACTGACGTTACGCTAAAATTAATCTTGGTTGAATGAATTGTGAAAACGTTGAATAGAAAAATATGAAAAGCTCGTTTTTACATATTATGTGGTGAAAATAGACATTCCTTTTCGAAAAGGGAAAATTAAGTACTTTTTAAAAACACCCAATAAAAAAAGCACCTTTAAGGGCTTTTAAAAAACGAAAATTGAAAATAAGCACTTTTAAAAAACGCTACACACCATGGATAATGTATTCATTCACGTCTCTGCATTACTGTAGTCAGCTATGCTTTGAGAAGTACCTTACAGTAAAACATCTCACGAGAAAGAATTTTTTAGGTTTACAAGGCCAATAAACAAACAGAACTTGTGACTGTTAATAAAAAAAATAGAACCAATTTTTTATTTTTACAGGGCCAATAAACCAACAGAACTTGTGACTGTTAATAAAAAAAATAAAACCAATTTTTTATAACTAGCTCTTGCAGAAAGAGCTATTTCTGATTCCTCTGTGTTTCTTTTTAATTCTCTTACACGGCTTATAAAAAGATAGTTTACCTGGGTTATTTGATGTTAAACTAGCTAAGGCAGCCAGGCTCTGTATATTTGCAGCATTTATTTCTGAAAAATTAATTCAATATAAGTATGAAAATTCCATGCACTTTTGTTAAATCTATTTGAAAGAACATTAGTACGCTCAAGAATTTTTATCATACATTCATATTTTATCAAAAAGACAAATATTTTTTGTCACTTCATCATATTATTCAAAAATATAAATAGGGAAACTAAATTTGAAGTGAAATCAATAAAAAATTTGTAACAAAGAAAATACAGTCAATATAAGCTGATATAAGATTCAATAATAAAGTCAAAGCAAGACAAAACTGCCACATTTTATAATCATGAAATAAAGTTTGTATGTACTTGTTATATAAAATACCTATCTTTAAATTGATGTCTTTTATCACAAAACTCAAAATACTAAGACAAATGTTTACATCAAGCAATAAAATAGATAACAATATCCTTACCTTTAATTCAAAATTTTTGAACTACAATGAATTATTATTTCTGGCAAAATTTTTAACTTAGTTCTAAATGATAGATTATAAAGTCAAGGAGTTAATAGGAGACTATCTTTTATTTAATTCCATTTTTTGAACAATTAATATTATGTTCTGAATTTTCTAAATTCCAGAAATTGATTTTTTCAATGTAAAGATAGATCAAAATAAATTTAAAAGAAAACTGCTAGCTATTTTCCTGAAAAATTCAATTAGTTCAAAACTAAATCGGATGTAATCTACATGCTAAAGAAAAAAAAATTTTTACACAAAAATAAACAAATTATTAGAAAATATATCATTATCATCAACAACAAAAAACCACTAAGAAATTAAATTATTAAGTACTGAAAGCAAATAGAAATTTATAAGTACTTTTTCGCTATAATGGGTAGTTTTACTCCTCTCTACCCTAATGAGGGCTAACGGAGAAATATTTGATCCGCTTAGGAGAGGCCCCGCTGTGGCATTTACTTAAAAATCAAATTTACAATTGCATTTGACAATCGCCTGAACAGGACAGATATACATGGAATCAGTTTGCATCCACAAGTTTCAATCAAAAAGCATAAATAAGGTATGAGGTCAAAGGACCCCAAGTTTACAATAAATAAATATGAAGGCCAAAAGACCCTTATAAGAAAATTGTATAAGAATGACAGGCCAACTGACCCTTATAATTAGTTAAAAGATATCAAAATTCATTAAGCCAAATGGCCATTATAAGAATCATTATGCGGTTTGTGCAGTTAAAACTAGAAGTAGATAAGTGTGAAATTGCAAAATGGGAGATGAGTTTGTACAGATGATGGGCAGCATTTATAAATAGAACTAGAAGCTTACAGTAGGGCTAAAAAAACAATCGACAATTTAAAAGGTATTGACTTGAAAGTGATATCTAAAATGGAGCACAAGTATATGATAAAATCAATTACAGTATAAAATCGATATATTAATCGTTAAAAGTGGTTAAGATAAATCGTTAAAAGAAATCTTTAAAATTATTCAACCAAAAGCAGATAATCACTAAGTAAAGTTTAAAAAAAGTCAAAAAGACAATAAAAGTAGTGACGAGTTAAAGTAAGGTCGATAGGACCAAAGCTTAAATAAAAAGGTATAAAAGTTGACAAGAAATAAAATGACAAGGTTGAAATATGTAGTTGCAAACAGTAAAAACAAAAGGATCATAAAAGCATTGAGACACCCTATAAAATACATTAAGATTTGAGCTAAAAAATATGCAGAAGAACATTGAGTTGAAAGGTCTAAAAGTAGAAAAAAAAGTTAACACTTATAAAAGACATAGTGGCACTGGAGTGTTATATGTGGGCAGATTCTGAAGTTAGTTGTTGTTTGTGGCCAGCACATCTTCCAAAGTTGTTTTAATAATAGTTTTGATTACATTCCTTTGCAAAGCACTAATGATGATTGAGTTCCTTAAAAAGATTATCATGCAGTGCTTACAATGAATGTTCAATAGTCTGATGATCTAGTTGGGTCATTTTCTTCAGTAACCTTCATCTTAGAGCCATCATTGAATATTTTATACCCTCTGTTTGTCGGAAATGATATCTCCCAGGGCATCGGAATGCACATGCAAAGATGAGCCCGTGCTGGAGGAGCTGCCATTGGGACAGATGCTAAGAGAGGTGTGATGGCCAGATTGATATCTGTTAGTCTCCAGCCCCAGGTAACTCTCTTAATGCAAATTTCTTCAAGGATCTTTAACTGAATGGGCTTCACGCTCGCCAGTATCTGGAGTGCGTCAAAGCGTGTTGTTGTGGATGCTTTGGTAATGCGGATTAGCGAAATTTTTCGGATCAATTTTAATTTCTCATTGATTTTTAGAATATTTCTATATCAGACACTGGCGGTGTTAATAATGATCCTTTCGGTGGCCTGGAGGTAGATTTTTTTTTTTATGAATAAAAGGTCTGAGGCCCCAAGTTGCCCTAGCCAACCTTTTTATAAGTTGGTTAAAACTACCGACTCACTCTTTAATATTATTGAGATGGAGAATCCAGGTTAGGCCCGGGTCGAGAACAACACCTAGGTATTTGAGTTCTTGTCCTTGTTTGATAGCATGGTTGCATATAAAAAAAATAAAGAAAAAACTAAGAAATTAAATTATTAAGAAATGAAAGTAAATGGAAATTTAAAAGTACTTTTATAGATATAAATGAAATGTAAAACGAAATAAAAACAACACTTTCACTGCAATTTAATGTAGAAGAGAAAAAAATTTACAACTAAGAAATGCTTGTAAGTTTTTTTAAACACCATTTTCCAATTAGCAATCGTACATTTTCATCGATTAAATTTATTACTTATTTTTTTAAAATAAGAACCTTTATTGAAAACTGTAAATTTTTATTTTAAATAAAAATTATGCAAAATTAAAAGGCTCCATAAATGACTCATTGATTGGCGTAAATAATTCTATATGTGCCATTCACCAGTTTCATGATTTTGAAAATTTAAGATGTGAAAAAAATGCAAAGAAATCTACCAAGAAGCTGCAAAAGCATTTTGTATTTTTATTTGATTTAAAGTTTAAGGTTTCAAATGGAATAGAAATTAAAAAAATACACAGAATGCATTACATCACAATTATTGTTTAAATAGCTTTCTGTTAACTGTGTGGCATAGATGCACAGAGATATATGAACATATGCAGTATAGATTAGGAAAAATCTTTACAAAATATAATAACCTGGTGTATGGTTTCCTGAGTTAAGCGTTAGTCCACCTTGTCCACCAATCCCTTGCAAGCCTAACGCATTTAACCCTGAAAATAAAAAATAATTTAAATGGAATAAAATAGATATAAACTACCAGTTATGATGATTTTAAAATATTCATATAATTTACAGAGATGTAAAAGCAGTGCATGAGGTTGAAAATAACAGAATAGCTTGAAATTGCACAATAAAAAAAATTTGATATCAAAATTTGGAACCCAATAATTTCTTAGAGTTCAGATTTATTATAATGTTTGAGCACACAATTTATTCTCTGCTATTACTGTAATGTTAATGAGAAAAAAGAAGCAAATTTTTGGTAGAAATATCAAAAAATAGTTATGTGGGTTTTCATTAAAAGATTGTTTTTATTTAATTATGTTACTGCAAAACACAATTTTAAGGCTAAATAATTGAAATTATATTTGAGTTAAATTTTTTAACCATGATTTAAAGATATAAGTCAAGTACTTTACAAAAAAAAAAAAAAGGTTTTAAATTTATTTACTGTGGAATCCTAGTTTTACATTGTCCTTTTAGTATGTAATCCTATTTCCTACGAAAACAGACAAGAAAGAGAACAAAAATACATAGGTGTGAAAAAAATTCCTGTATAAGGGTCGGTTTCTTACAATTCCTCACTCTTTGAAATGCATGGAAAAATTTCGAAGAGCATGCACACCATTTCTTTAAATAAAAACTAGTTTTTTTACCCCCCCCCAAAAAAAAACACTTCACCTAAACTATCTTTAAAAATAGGTTTTATATTTTAACGATAATATTTTTAACCATAAAATAATTGAATATTTATTATGTGTTGAAAGATTTGGATCTTGTCATTATCTTTCAGTATCATAGTGATTGTAACGTAGAGAAAATAAGTGATTGTAACGTAATTTAATAAGTACTGCTATGAGCGAATCATATAACATGCAAAAATTTTAAATTATCAACAGAAAAATACACAAATGGTTCAGTAAAATCTATATAATATATCAATTAAATTATCTTTTTAGAAGATTTCTAAGCCTTTTGTATGCACATAACTGCAAATTCTTTTGAAATTTCGGTTTTGTATCATCAAAAACATATAATAATATTGCTGAAATAAATAATTAAAAAAAGCCCAGTATCTATTTTTATTATTATAATACAAATTTAATTGCCATACATTTATAATTGAAAATTTAAAACATTAGAGTTAACATACCTGTATTGGTATTGTTGGGAGATTGAGCAGCTGCTAAAGCCGCAAGTTGCTGCATATTTATAGAGTTCATACCTGAAATGCATAAATATACGGACTAAAATGTGAGATGAACTGTAGAAAAAAATTAAGGAAATTTTTTTTTTTAAAGAGATGTGACTAATGCAATTGATTACAACTTATATTCAACAAGATATTCACTTACCTCCAGTAAGTTGAGGTAGACTTGTAAAATTTCCATATCCACCAGTTTGTGCTTGCTAAAATAAAATATTTTAACATTAGTAATCTGGTTAAAAATATAGTCAAACTTCTATCACTTAATATTTCGATAACCTGAAGTATTTTCGAAACACAAGAAAAAATTTCATAGTCACAAAAAAATTTATTTCGAAAATAATCCCAGTTTCAACATTGAATTTCCATTACTCAAAACTCTATTTTTTCCATAATTTGAAGAAACTTTAGTTTTCCTAAAGTCGATTGTAGTAAGTTGATTTTTTTTAAAGAAAAAAAGAAATTTAAAACCAACAAAATTTTTCTTAATCTTAACACAATTCCTGGTGATCAGCAAGTGTAGAAAGAAAGAAACAACTTTAGGAGGGAAACTTTACTAAATTTCTCTTCATTAGCATTATTCTGAGAACTCTACTCAAAAAGTAATAAAGCGGAACATAATTAAATCATAGTTTTTTCCTTCATTCTTTCCTTAGAGAAATTGAAAGCATAACACTTATGTTCATTAAGGCAATCCTTGATCCTTTTTTTCTAGAGAGAATAATTTTCCATTCCAATTTCTTATTACAATTATTTTTCTTAATTTGACGAAACATTTCATCAGGGAGATCTGAATTTTCCCTGAAACAGGTTTGTGTAATCAGACATATTCAACACCCCTGTACAAACATATTCAAAATCCTACACAATAATGCAAATATCATGATTGCAAATATTAAAAAATAATATAATATTTCTTTCTCTTTCTACAGAACCATTAAGTTAGGAATTTCGAAAACCTGGACACACTTAATTCAAAAGATTGCCATCCTTGTTCCAGACAATATGATCAATTCTCTCTTATTTAGGTCACACAGCAGCAGGGTCTTCCGAGTTACAATAAAGACCAACTCCAATAATTTTAATTTGCTCATGACACATTAAAGCAATAAACAGATGCTATAGACTTACCGCTATATATTGGGAGCTAAGACCTATGTTGTTAAAATTTGACATATTCCAGATGTTAGACATCATCTGTTGCTGTCGTTTTAAATCTTTATCCTTTTGGGTATCGGCAAATTTAACAACTAAGGGACTACTACAACCCTGTAAGAAAAAAAAAATTAAAACATCCTTTTCATACTCATTTTTTTTTATAATATGTAAGTAATTATTTAAATTATAATTCCGAGAGTACGGAAATACAGTGGAATTTCTCAGGAGCGACCCCTCTTAGTTCCACGATAAAATGGTCGTTAATGGAGTTTGGCCGTTTTTAGGGGTTACCTCCATTGACTTCAAAACATTATCGAAGGCACATAATTTTTCGCAAGTAATTTTAATTTTATTCAGTGCCAATTTCTTGGGGTGGAAATGCCACTCGTGTTAACGTCACGAAAACCGGATTGATGAATAAAATTTAGCACCAGTAAAAAAAAATATTCCAATTGATTTAAAGAGTGAAAACAAATTTACTAATTTGCTTTTTGTTTAAGTTTGCATTTAATTTTATATCATAAAAATTTGTTAACTTTCAAATATGAGAAGAGGTTTGTTTGCTTGAGATGTTAAGGTTTTTCTTCCTAAAATAACCTTTTTTCTAATTTTAATTTTAAACTCTGCAATAAGAGGTTGTGATATTGCATTTGAATCTACTTTTTAATTTTGTTAATATTTTTGATTTATTAATTTTTCAGGTTTCCAGATTAGACCTTACCTGCACAGGTTTGCTCGGTCGAGCAGGAGGGTTTTTAAATGGTTTCTCCAAAAGATATTCTTCAACACAAAGTCTATTGAAAAAATTCCGTGCCTACCAAAAGTGAGCGCAAATAGAAGAGGTTGCTACACAAAGGTGGTCATTCCAGGAGATTTGACCGTAATATCTTATCAGTAAATTATTTATTTTCCTTGTTTGATAATTGATTGGTTTCAATTTAAAGACACAAGAGCTAGATGCACTAAATTCAAACAATATAAAAGTAACAGAATTGATATTGTTTGAATTAGGTCTAAGGCACTCAAGGCAACAGAATCTAATTTGATAAATTATATCCGAAGCAAAAATAAAAGAAAAAAAGAAATCATGCATTAATTGATTACTTTATTTAATTTGGGCAAATAACATTGAATTGTAATTACATTTCAATTCTTGAAATTATATTGTAATCAAACAGAAATGGATAAGAAATAACTGGAATGACAAAAAACAGAAAAACAAAATGAGTGAATTAACAAAATTAATGAAGATGCTTAACATTTTCATTATTTGTGATTACAAAGGTATTTTGTTTTTTAAAATTCTTTTTTATCAAAAAAATTGGATAAATTGGAGAGGATATTAAAAAATAAAATAAAAATTACATTAAAAAGATTAAGTCATTTTTTTATTGTAAATTATAAATATAAGAGAAAAAATACAAACTATAACTTTAGAAAACATTGACTTCATACATTAAGCAAAGAAATAAGAAACTGAAGGAAACATTTTTAATAGAAGAATGCTGGTTAGATTAATGTTATAATAATCATAAAACAAACGATAATATTCTAATAAGGTGGACATTATTTGGTCATATGACAAATAATATGTTATTTTGATAACTGTTGAGAGTTTTTAACAGATAGTTCTTCATGCTAATTATGAAGGTAGCACAATATATCAATAAGACGAAAATCACATTTCAGATTTGCAAAAAATAAATATTTCGGATCTAACCTTTTAATATTTGAAAATTTAATTAAATACTGCATATTTTGGATTCCGAAGAAAACCTTAAGCTCTGGTCAGAACCTTGTTTTGTTACCAATAAAAGGAAAACATCATAAAAAACGTGCTGAATATATTTGAAAATGTAAAGCAACAAGATACAAGATCTTAAATAAGTAGCAATTATTAGCTCATATAATACTATTAGCATATATATTTTATCTCTTAATAATTATAGCACAATAAACAGATCTAGAGGCTTAAAGATAATCATCAGCAATCTGCATACTACTTTTGCAGGATAGAGTTCTTATCTTAATTCCAAAATATGCCCTTTCTTTTTTTTCTTCTTAAATTTCTCATTTTGAATTGCTTACAAACAAGTGGTTGGATTCGTCAGATGAACTTGAGATGATACTATGCAGATCATCTTGTTTGACCTATCAAAATGTGTCACATGATTTGATGATCTAATAGTTAACATGTTTTAAGAGGCCCAAAAATGATGGGAACTTGGAGTTTGTAAATGGATAACTACAATATAGAAGGCCATAAATTTTTTTTAAAAATAATCATTATTTACATTAAAACTTATGATTTGAATATCTAATTTTTTTTTTTAAACAATGATTGCAATAAAATGTTTAAACTATTGTTTTCTCACATGTTAAGTTGAGAAATTTTTTAGAAGTTGATTAAATATTTTTTTGAACAACATATTTTTATGAAACTGAACAACACTTGAAACACTTTCTGTAAATTTTATATATATATATATATATCAGTATGTTAACAGATAGAATTTATGATATATTTACCTCCATAGTCTGAGAATGGTTCATAGCTTTAATAGCATTAATGGCACACTGCCTAGAAGCATAAGTAATAAAAGCACAGCCTGTAAACAAAAAAATAATGTTTAATTTATAAAACAAAAAATATTAGGCCTTGCTTAGCTATTAAATTTAAATTTTATAAATCCTGTATTTTTTTAAAGAACAATTTCTCAAAAGTAAACTTTTAAGTTATTAATTTTAAAAAATGCTTTAATAAGGAAAAGCATGCTTGTAAAAAAAAAAATTTTTTTTTTCCCTCACAGATATAAAATTGTCAAAATGATTAAAAAGTAAAAATATTACATTTTAAGTAAAAAAACAAACAAAAGATTTACAAAAAGATTTTTTTAATAAAAAAAACTGACTAAATTTAAATTGCTAATCAGAGTATAGTATTTTTTAACAAAATTTGAGATTTAAGAACAGATAATTTACCTCTACTTTGTCCATTAATATCTCGCAAGACAGTACATTCTTCTATTTGTCCAAAGGCAGAAAACATAATTCTAACATCATTTTCCGAACATTTTTTTGATAGCATACCAACAAAAAGTTTTCTTTCTGAAAAATAGAATTTAAAAATTAATAAATTGAGAATAAGCAAAACTATTTTAAATAAAATTTTGAAAATTTCAAAATCATTAAAAAAAATAGTTACTGAAACATAATAATAAAAACTAATTCCTTAAGACTCGGAATAATCTTGAATCCGGTTGAATTGTAATCAACAAGCTAAATTATAAAAATTAAAGCTTAATAGTTTGAACTTATACTAAAACATGTGATGAAACCAGGGTTCGTGATTTTTTTGATTTTTTTAAAAAAAATCAAAAAAATCGGATTATTTTGATTTAAATCGGATTTTTTTGATTTAAATCAGATTTTTTTGATTTTTATTTAAATACACTATAAGAGCTTTAATTTATGATCAAAAAAACTTTATAAATGTTTAATCAAAATTAAATTAATATTAAAACTATATTATAACAATATTTTAGAAGCTCTAACTTACTAAAATAATTTTTCATTATAATGCATAGCGACCATTTTGATACAAAGGCATGATTGAAATTAAAAGACAAGATAAAATAGATAATTTAAAGAATACTATTTTAACTAGTAACACCAATTTTCAATTAGCACACCATAATTTTAATTTAAAATTGTGATCTCTTTTTTT